TACTGCCCTTCTATGCTCCTGCCTGCCTGTCTTCCTCTTCTTCTGTATATTTCCTGCTGTATGGAAACAAATATCTAAGCACAGGGAAAGTGTAGCAGGGTGCAGGGTGTCCCATAAATACAAGTGAACCAAGAGTGGCTATTCAGGAATAAATATGCTTACTGAAACAACACTACAGAACTAATTTCTTTCTGTGCATTTTTCCCCTAGCAGGTCTGAAAAATTTGGGATTTATATTAACTCTGTCCAATATTTCTATTGCAGTGTATTCCCCAGGGACGAAGTTTTAGCTCTTTTAAATCTCAAACAGCTGGATTACCTAAATGAAGATGTTGGGGTGGTTACACAAAACATCACTGATTCAAGTCTTGGAAATTACATATACGGCTTATCGAATGAAGCTGCCATGCTGGAAGAAGGGATGTTTCATTTTGACAGAGCCAAAGGGCTGAATTTTGCAAGAGATTTTCTTACTGTATTGTTCAGAAATTCTGCTTTTAAAAAGCTACCAGAAACCATGAAGAACTGTTGGGATTTATGAACTACATGCTGCTTAGTGCAAATAATTCTTGGGATTTAAGCCAGTGGACTCAGACTCTCTCTAGGACTCTCCAGTTTATGAAACACATTTCTTCAGGAATTGAAAACTTCATGGGTATCCTGACTCGGAACAGTTTCTCCACACAACTTCAAGAAATCACTTTAGCTAATTTAACATACTCTTTGACCTCAATTAACAGTGCTTTTTTGTTAAAAAATGAAACGATGGCACTGCAAAGATTACTTCAGATTCTCTTTTGGAATAGTAGAGACGACTATAATTGGGCCTTTACAAAGACTTATAACACTTTGAAAACAGTGTTTGAGGAGACTGATAACTTTGGGCAAGTTGGAAAATTAATAGATGCTGTGTTTCATTTTCTAACACTGTCCAGAAAAACTTCAAAGCACTCGTTTTCTATTTCTGAAGCATCTCTGAGTTCAAATGCATCAGACAAACCTAATTCCCTTGAGGTGGCCTATTTAGCTCTTGCAAAAGCTATGCACAATGAGATTGAAGAGAGGAGCTTGATGGAGATTGTGAAGGACTTCAAGCAGCTAGTTGGCTTAAGCAATGCATTTCTCCATTTGATCTTCTTGATGACTCCACTCAATCTGTTTTGAATGCATCTGATGCGGCAATGATAGCTGCTGGATTAGTTGAAAACTGGAATAAATTGAGTGATGTATTAGTAAATGAAATAGCTGATTTTTTAACAAATGCATGCAATTATTCCACTGTGTTGGAGAAGGTTGTTCAGTTAGTAGCCAGCATAGCAACAAACTCCAGAGGAAGCTTTCAGTCTAGCGGGAAATCTTCTTGATTTTGTGGCACCAGTGAATACCTTGATAGGAAAAATGGATTTTGATCCAAATTTTGCTCAAACATAAAGCAGGAGAAAGAAAGAGAAGGGATACAAGAAACTGTTTCTTACCTACTGAAGATATATTTGCAAAACAAGATGGAAAGTTAATCTGCTCTCAGAGCTGTGACAAATCTTTTCTCTGAAGTCTCCTGGAAAAACACCATCTCAGAAAATTTGGACACTCAGCTTACTGTTGCAAAAAGACAAGATGGCATTGAAAAGGTCTTAAGGATCATTATGGAGTTGTTGGATCTAACATCAGATTTGACTAGGGCACACATGGGCATGTTATTCTTTCTTGAGAATCCTGTACTTCAACACGCTGTTGAGAGATCTGTCCTAGATTTGCTTAATGAGACATCTTCACTGACAGGCCTGCCTCACTTCAACAAAAAACAGAGAAGGATCTTCATTCAAGGCTTATTTCAAACCATGCTGAGGGCTTTTTTAAATGAAAGCATCATAGAAGAAAATCCGGATGGAATTGTAAATGGTATACTGAAATTCATATCTGATTCTGACTTGCCATTCAAAATGTTATCATCTAGTGAAAGAGGCACAGAGCTTTTGGTTATCTTGATGGAACAATGGCTAGATCACCAAAGGTAAGGCTGAGTAAATCTGATACTCATCTTAATGGTCCTAATGTTCACACTATTCTTTCCTACCAAGTTTGTACTTCAGGGATATCCTGGCAGGACTGAGCACCAGAATCTAAAAATTAACCTTCCGTAAACTACACTGGCAAATCAGGTAGCTGAGCTGCTTTGAGGTTATGAAAGAGCATTCAAGTCCTCAGGGGAAGAAATTACTCATAGTGTGCTGAAAATCAGGGCTGCTGTTGCACAGGCAAGTGTAAGGTTATTTTAGTTAAGAGGAAAACATCACATGCAACATCCGGAAACAGGGAGTCCTATGTGCTAAAGAGAGACTGGGAATGCAGCAGGGCTTGTGTTGGTCATCTAGAGAGAAGATGCTTTGTTTCTTGTACCAAACTGTGATGTCACTGCCCATGTAAATTGGAAGCAGTATTGCTGATATGTAATCTGCTTCTACCAATGTGACACTATTTTAAAGACGACGGAAACAATCCTGTGGATTCTTTCTCTGGTCCTCCCCCACACTTGCAGCATTTATAGTGCTTTCTTCTGGCACCTGGCTTTTGTAGAAATAAGTATGCTAATATATTTTTTGCTTCTTCAGAATTTGTGAGAAGTGCCAGGCTCTTTACAAACACTTAAACCCAGAAGATGCTCTCCTGCTGTGGAAATTGCAGGCTACAGCCTCGAATATATTGACAACTATTTCAGGTGGAGTCACAGTTCTGAGTTGCTTTTAAATAGACATTCCTTTGATTGTCTGGGGAGAGGAAGAGTTTCCTTCAGGCAGCCAGGCAGGGAAAGCAATGCAAAGGCTGCTTCTTTTAATTTTGGTTCCAGACAATGAAAATCAGCCTGTGGGTGTGAAGGGGCTGAGCATCACATGCAATCTTGTGTCAACACTCCAGGAAGCCCAACCAAGTGGGGGAATGTTCTTATGCACTCCTGGGGAAAATGGGGAGTAACTGTAGAGGGGAAAGCAACTGAGGACACTTTAGGATTTCAGTCACATTTAGAAGTGACTGACCCACTTTCCATTTCCTGGATAAATGTACAGTTCATTACTTAGTTTCCATCAGTTTTCATGCTGGTCCTGCTTCTTTGACCTAATGCTCAGTTCATAACGCATTCCAAACTGGAAAATGAACTATTCCAAAATGGAAAATGAATATGTTGGCTTAAAACATATGTAACATGCATATTCTAGGGTAAATCCTCTGCTGAAAATAAAAATGTGAGAATAGTATGATATGAACTGACAGTGGGGAGAGAGATTTAAAAATTCATTCATTCATTCATTCATTCGATTTATATCCTGCCTTTTTCCCCAAAGGGCTCAAGGCAGCTTACATCATTCTCCTCCTCCATCTTATCCCCACAACAACAACCCTGTGAGGTAGGTTAGGCTGAGAGTCTGTGAATGGCCCAAAGTCACCCAGTTGGCTCCATGGTTGAGTGGGGACTAGAACCCAGATCCTCTGAGTCCCAGTCCCAGGCTCTTAACCACTACACCACACTGTCAATCTACATACATGTAAAGTAGGGATGGCATGATAAACCCTGTTAGAATCCATCCTTCCAAACTGAGAAGCCACGGTAAGAGGAAGTCTGCAAGTGTACATTAACTCTGTGTGTGTGTGTGGGCATGTGCATGTTATTCATTTCCTTGAGAAAAAGTAAAACATGTCTTTCACTCCTGATATTGGGTGGATGAAATTTCCCTAGCAGGCATGTTATGGGGGGAGTAATGTTTTCCTGGGCATAGTGCATGCCGAAATGCACCAGACTTTCTAGAAGTTTCTTACAACATACAAGCTTTTCCTTTGTACGCCCTCCTACTCATTATAATGTAGAGGTGGGCAACCTGCAGCGCTTCAGATATTTTAGCCTGCGATTTCCATCATGAGGAATCACAGGAGTTGTAGCCAAAACATCTGGAAGGCCACAAGTTGCCCCCATCTGCATGATAATAATGGAGATTTTGTGCTTCCTCCTCAATGTCTTACTTTTTTTTCTTAACTTATGAGAGAGAAGACTCAGTTTTCAATGTTTCAAAGAGTATTCCTGCAGTCACTCTTTCTGGCATTTCATATGTTTCATGCCACCTGGAGTTCTGATGAGCAAACGACAAGGGTGCAGCCACAGTGGTTGAAGCATCTCTCTGCTTCAGTGTATGAAGTACAGGATGGGAGGCTTGATTGAAATGCATGAAGAGACCTGCAGGCTGTTACCATGGGCTGTTCTAGTCCACTCTCCTGCTTCCCGAAGTGGACAGTGGGATGCCCATGGGAAGCCCGACTGCAGCACATGAGTGCAAATGCTACTCCCACTGTTGTCCCTCAGGAGTGGCATTTGGAGGGGCCTGTTACCTCTGCTCCTGGAGACAGCACAGGTCCATCAAGACTGTTAGCTCCTTAAGCGCTTTATCTTCCATGAACTTGTCTAATTCCCTTCTGGTTCACATGGAAGCAAAATTTATACTTTTAACTACACAGTTAGTTGATCCTGCTATTCCCACTCTTCAGCTCCCTTGGATGGCCCTCAGTTCTCACATTATGAGAAAAGAATGTTTGCATCATAGGGAGCCTTGAAGTGAGGGGACTTGAATCCTGTCCCCTTTTTAGCCATGTATCTTCACCAGTCGCTTGAACTTCTTTTTCCTTCAGCCTGACTTCATTACTGGGAATCAGATGGTAGGGGAAGGAAAGTGTAACAGGAAGCTAGGGAGCTCAACTCCTCATTTCATTGCATAGCATTAGGTGCTAAAATCTGCTCCTGCATTTCATATGTGAATGTGGGGCAGATGCAGTTGCCATCATCACGTTGATCTCATGGTCACTTTTGGTCCTGCTTTCATTCTTTGTGATACATTGTGTGTTTTCTGTTACAGACAGTCTTGCATTTATCAACAATGTCAGATGTGCCTTTAAGAGCTGTAAGCATGGCTTGACAAGACGGCCTTTCTTCTCTATCCTTGAGGAAATCCATTTGGTTCATGGTCAATATCAGGTTTGTAAGAAAGTTTTCAGTATACTTTATCTGAAGTCCACTTTGCAATATACTTTTTGATGGTGGATTTTTTCTTTTCGGTGGGCTTGCATATGATGATCTCTGACCTGCAACAAAATCTTGCTGAAGGGCTGTATGGTAAGGTGATGAAGAAGCGGTGGACTAATACTACCCCTATCCCTGGAGTCTGATTTTATCACACAATAAGCAGACATGATCTGGTTCCAAACCTATGATAATTCCCATGTGTGCTATGCAACCATGTCTGAATCTGGGCAAAGCTCTCTGAGAAAACCATGCAAAATAGGAAAAATATCTCTGAAACCACAGGGACTGTTGTTACTTTATGCAGTTTTGATTCAAACAGATGGATTAAGCTAGATCAATGGAAAGGGGTGGCACTAATAGATGAAAACAACAGTTTTGTCCCTGTATTGGGAGTGAGACCCCAGCTTACTGGCATCAATTAACTCAATTGTTTTTATTCTCTGATCAAGCTGTTAATTTGTTTGTCACACAGATTAGTTGGTGACTGCTTTCATTTCTGAAAAAGTACTACATTTTAAATGAGTATACGATCATCATGAAATTGTGTTTTTTGCAGCATGCTGTGAAGGTCTGGCCAACTGCTACTCCAGGAAATTGCGAAGGCTTTGTATCTCTAAAAAGGATGCTTTCTACTACTTCGTCTGAAATCCAAATGTGCCTCCACAACATCACTGAAAGCAACTGTGAATGTCAACCTGTCTCAGAAAACATTGGCAAACACATGCAAATGTAAAATCTGGTTTTCTCCCTGTGGTTATATAATTAGGGTCTTTTCAACCTTGGATCCTTGATGCTGACCCTCAATCAATGGGACAAATAGTGGGAATGTTCACAGTATCCAATCCTCACTTTGTACCTGACAGAATAGATGAGAAAACCTCTTCCTCCTAATAGTTACCCTTTCCCTAAAGATTATTACTGAAGCTTCTCACTGTCTTTTACCACAAAACCAGCAAAATGCTTGTAATTATGATGGGCAATCTGTATGTAGGACAATCTGTATGTAGGGCAATCTGTATGAACCCTGTGCTTCATATGAATGCAGTATGTTTTTGTGAGTTCTGTGAACACACAGATGCTTGGCAACCTCACCAGTGGAGCAGATTCTTATTGGTAGAGGCTGGGACACCAATGATAAAATGTGGGGAGGAGTTGCATCTATTGCCCCATTTCCCTTGAGTGTGTGGGGCTTTATTATTGTATTCATTTATCCCAAGGGCAGACTTCGCTTTTTGTTTGTTTGTTTATATGAAGTATCTTTCCTTAGCCAAAAAGACTCCTTTCACAGAATGTATTAAACAAGGTAGCCCCTCCTTGCAGGCTTATAATCTAAAAAGGCACGATATGTAAAGAAAAAGCACGGAGAGGGAAATAGTTCTTTCACATGCCAGGGGGACAGCCCTGTTCTCCGCAAATTCACCCTGCTGGACTGGCTGCTGGCAGCTACAGTTCAGGGAGGAGGAGCTGTCATGAAGGAGGTCTTTAGCTGGATGGTTAAGCATGGATGTTGGCTGTTCATTTATATGAGGAAAAATAAAGGGGTGCACCTGGGATGTGGGTTATCCCCACTGATTTCAGCATCTGGAGCAAGGGTCAGTTTCCCTTCCCTGATACATCCCACCTTACCTCCAGTATCCTGTAGAACTCAGTGCTGTCCTATGAGAATGGAGCTACCCTGCATCTTCTTGCTTACGGTGTGTTTCCTCTGTCTTGGCTTCAGTTTCTGGGTTGCTCTAAAACTGGTATAGGGAACTTCAGACCCAGGGGAGCACCTAGCTGACTGGGTTCCCATTTGGCTCCTCTAGAGCTCCCCAAATGGCCCCAAGTCCCTTTGTCATGACCATCGATCACTTGATGGTCTTCTAGCTCTGGCACAGCTCCCTCCTCCCCCTGTCCCCACCATCTTAAGTGGTTGCAATATCTCTGTTAAGGCTTTGAAAACCACAGTAAGAATGTTATGCTAAAGCACGCTGATCATTTTGGCCCTGCTCCTTTTGTCTCTGGCCTGCTCACCACTAGAAAATGGTCTTTGAGAGCCTCTCCAAAATGGGTTTCAGCCCTTGAGTTGCAAGAGGTTCAGTGCCACTGCACTGAGCATGATGGGCCCCTGAAAACTGGCTTGTAAAAGTTCAAATATTACTAATCTGCAAACTAACCTTTTCCATGTTTTCATTTGCTTCTAGGTTAACCGAAATCTTAGAAATACCTCTGTCAGGGAACCCTCTAGCGGCTTGCCTTAATAACTTCAGTCTGCCAACAGGTAAGCTTCATAGATTCTTTGCAAAAGCTTCTAAAAGCACATAAGAACAAATGCTGTTTGGAAACCTGGGTGTGGAGCTAGTTTTTGACTGGTCTTGAAAAGGCATCCTGAAGAGGAGCTGTTTTCAGAGCCTTGTGCAGGCTACTTTACATCCATTTCAGCTGTAAGTTCAGAAGAATATCCATATTAATTGACTGATAGGAACCCAAAATCTGTTCCTTGCCTTCTAGCCTGCATGGACTGATCTCGTAGCTTTCAGCTGCCCCATGTCAAATCTCTCTGCTCGGATTGGCTTGATTTGGGTGTCACCACATTATAACACTAATCTGTTTGACAGTTAGGTCTTCTCCCCAAGGAATCCTGGAAATGGTACTTCTTTGGAGCTATTGGGATCCCTATCCGGAAACTTCCTTCATCTCTCAACATAAAAAATTCCCAAAATTCCACATAGGAAACTGTGACAGGCAGAAAGAAAGCTATTTTTAAGTGTGAAGTTAAGATGTTCTCTTTAGGCCTTTCAGGTTAGGCTTTCAGGTTCAGCCTGATGTCTGATTACCACACAGAGGTCTACAAATTATTTTTTAGAAACATAGAAACAGAGCGAGTCAGAAGGGGCCTCCCGGGTCATCTAGTCTGACCTCCGGCACCAGCTGGCTCCGCTAACCATTTCTGGACTTAGAAGCCAAGCTTCAGTTTCTGCCAGCCAGATGTGCAATCCATTCATGAAGTCTAGAGCACCAATATTATATGCATTTATTAACACACACACAGAGAGAATCTGATTAAATAGACATGTTTATGTAGCTCAGACTTTACATGAATTAAACACATGAAATTTATGCTTGACATGAGATTCATTCCACAGCTTCCCCCCACCCTATCCTACCCACTTTCAAATGTTTAAGACTCATCTTTTCTCCAGTGAATATATACATGTCCTATTATACAGCACTTAAATTTTGTCTTACAACACAATACACAAATGTGGTACTGTTGGAGTGCAATCCACTGAGACTGCCTGTAACCCTCCAAACTGAGAGGGTTCCAGTCATCCTACGTGAGGCAGAAGGGACATGGAGCTGAAGGTTTGTTTGTTTGGTTACCCTTTCCTGTTATGCAAGATACTTGGATGGACTGATTTGAGGCATCTAAGTGCTTGACCTCAGAAAGAGTGTGAAGGAGTGTGAGGTACTGCTGGGATACTTCAGGTGCTGGCAGAAACTGTTTCCTTCCTTTACTGCCTGCCAAAGCCTTTGTGACCACAGTTGCAGCTGATGCAGTTCTTTCTGCTCTGGCTGTGAGAGCAGGAAGGGCACTTTGAGTGGCTTCAGAGTACACTTCAAAGGATGGAGCTGAGACTCTGAAAAATCCTATGGCCATTGAGACTCTGCTTACCAGCTACAGGACTGCACTGTGAGATGCCTCCTTCAATTTGCTGCCTAAGGAGGTTTGTTATAAAAGTAAAGGAAATGCCAGTTTTTCAAGGAGTCCTGTTGGAACTTGAAGTGTATCCATTTTTAATGGTACGACTGCATTTCTTTGCATACTTATTCAGGAATAAGCTCCACTGAATTCAGCAGTACTTTTTTCTGAACAAGCATAACAAGTTCAACTTGTAAAAGACCTTGAGCCCTGATTTAACAAAGGAGTCTTAGCTGTTAATTAGAAATGCAAACAATCTTACAAAACTGTGTGACCATCTAAACTTCTAGTCTGAACTAAGTACCTCATGAAAACCTAGGTGGCCCAGCTTTTGTTTAATTCTTTTTTCTCACTCTCTTTTCTATTACTGTTTTCCTTGCCATTTAGTTCCTCACTGGAACATTAGAATTCAAAGCATTTATCTTTGGTGATTATGAAACTCAAGCTCCACCCTCCATTTCTCCAGCCTTGTTTTTAATTTGGACTCTGTCTGCTTAGTAGAGACAAGATAATGGGACATGCTCCCTGCAACACAAACAAGCAGTTCATGCAGGCCTTGGGGGTTTTCCTAACCACCCTTGAAATTCCTTCCCACCACTAAGTTTGCCCTGGAAAAATTGCCCCTTTCTGCTGCAGCATCTGGCCTGATGTTGCTGGAACCCTCTCTGTGGCCAGTAAGAAGCCGGCATGTTCCATGGCAGGCCATTGGAGTGTGGATGTTGGGCCATCTCCTAGCTTTGGCAGTTGTGTTCAGAGGACTGACCACACAGAGCACCTGTTGTGAGCATCTCGTTCACACATTATCTGGCATGCTATGTGGTTGGACTCATGTGGTAAATCACACTGCTAGAGCAATAGATCGGGAAAAAAACCTGCAAATCTTCCTCACAAATAACAGCGTTGCAATAATAAAAAGAGCCGTTTGAACACTTGTAAATTTGCCACTGGGTAAGACTATTCAGTTGAAACTCATCTGGGAAATGACATTAAATTCTATAGCTTGTCCTTGTAATGTGAGTCTGTGCAGTTTGTTCCAGAGTTGTAATATCTTTTGTGTGTCCTTAGAATTCTTATATAGAACAAAGAAGTTGGTTGAGAAATTGACTTTTACCTTTACCTTTTGTTGTGTAATTTTAGCTGTGTTTTATAAATTATTACACATTTCATAGTGCAGTCCTATGGGGGTGCCATGTCCCTCTGAACTTGGAGAATTATAGGCATCCAGTGCAGGGTGGGGAAGAGAATGGAGTCAAAGTTCATCTCTGTGTGTCTCCTGCCCTGCAGAACAGCCAGAGAACCAATTTCAGCTGTCCAGCTGATGTATTGGAGGGGATGGAAGGCATCCATCCCCTCCAATACACTGAGGCACTGCCAGGGCACCTCATATCTTGGTGGCATTTGTCTCTCCTTTTCCTGCCACCAAGGAAACATGCATTTAATCCTTCCCTTGGGACACATTGTGCTTCAAAGAAGCAGCCAGACTGGTTCTTGCCTTGCTGGCAGTTAGGTGGGGAGGGAGATCTGAGCATGGATTCTCCATCTCCTAGGCTGGAGTAATTTTATTCTATGACCTCCTAGACCTATGACGATGCCTAAGAGGTCATGAGATTGCTATTATGACAGTCCATGAATGTTATTTGTGTGCAAAATGTGCAGTTTCCCATCCCTGATCTCTTACCTTTCTTCTGTTGCTATTGGTCAGAAAATTATCTTGATTTGACATTGGTAAAGCATGTTTCTGCCTGGCAGCTGTTTGGCAAGTTGGAAGGAGTGCAGTTTACATGGGGGGATATGTGGGGAGAGGAGGGTTAAGACTCTCACATATCCGTGTGTGTGTGTGTGTGTGTGTGTAAGAGGGAGCATGCAAGGGGGAAGATGGCCTTGCCCATCACCTTGGGTTTCACCCATTGCCAGCTCCACTAGCATGCAACCCTTGAGGGCTACATGGCTTGCCCCCTCTTTCCCTACATAGTCACTAGCTCAGCTTCCTCTTTCTCCACTTCTTTTGAATTGGAGCTGCTCTCTTGCAAATGTCTTCCCTGAAGTATGATCACTTTATTCACTTGCTGGAGCAGGAGGGCCCCAGTGACCCTGACAAGCGGCTCAGATCTGTGTGGTGGCGCATTCTCCCTTTTCCCCGCACACAGATCATGCATGAAGAAGGTGTCATGCGCAGATATGCAAATGTGCAGAGGCCTGGTTCATGCAATCATTTCCACTCTACAAAAATTAAATTAAAAAAATAAAAATAACAAGAGTGGGTGGGTGGGTGGGTGGACAGGTAGCCCTGAAGTTGTGTAGCTAAGGCTAGGGTCTTAGCATACTCCTCATCATGCAACTTGGGGCATCAGTTGAGTGAGTGTATGTGGTTGACCCCTTATTTTTTTGGTTCATAGTTCAAAGAAGCAAGAGACAGCCAAAGGTGCTCCCCTTGCTTTTGGCATGATAGCCTTGCTGTTTATAATGTGTTGCAGACATGAAGATTAAATACTGTGTACAAAATACTACAAAATTGACCAAAGAGCTCAGTTCCTTAACCAGGATTTCTGATGAAGCAATCACTGTTGTCATGGAGTTCAGTATCTCACAGCCAAAGGTACAAATGGGAAATGTATCATGTGATGTTAAAACATCCTGAAAAATGCCTTCACATTGTTCATGCAGAGTGATAGCAAAAAATGAATCTTCGGATGCAGTGCTTGAGTGGAAATATGGCCTATGCCTCTCAGCACATCCCAGCCATGGCTGGCTGGCTGGCTGGCTGGGGGATGATGGGAACTGTAGAAATTATTCCTGTCTAACAAGCATAGGCTTGCAACTATAGGAGCCAATTCATGTACTAGTGGAATGACATGAGACCTCTCTACAATCTGGTCTGGTAACATATTTAAGCAGGGGGAATCATATGTAGGCCAAAACAGCTCAGGAAAAGGAACCACCTCATAGCAGAGATCCAAGGTGGTCTCGTGAGAGCCAGTGTGCTCAATCAGCTTGAAGGCTGGACTGGGACTAAGCCCATCCAACTTCTATTCTCTGCCCATGCATGATGCTCACTGGGTGTCTTTTGGCCAGTCATCAGCTCTCAGCCTAACCTACCCCACAGGGTCACTGTTTGAGGGTAAACTAGAGAGGAGAAGGAAGATTGGGTAATTATGTAAGGCAGCTTGTTGATGCAATTCCACGGCAGTTTTTCAGGAATTCCTTGGCAAATGGGTCAATATCAAGGTAGAAAATATCATAGTAGCAGTTTATCACTACTCTCCAATTTTACCTCTTTCCTTATAGCAGCCTTCTCCTGTCTTCTGGGTATTTTGGCCTTCAGCTCCCATCATTCCCTGCCATCTTGGGCAATGGTCAGGAATTCTGGGAGTTTTAGTGTAAACATCTGGAGGGTACCAGGTCGAAGATGACTGTCTTATATTGTCCATCTCTTGGCATGAGTCTGAGCTGTTGCTTTGCTGTCCTAGAAGGGTTGCCCCTGCTGGTTTCTCTCCATTGTGATGTATGCCACTGTCACTGTCTCCTAGGAGCACTGAGTGAGCCATAACGGCATTGGCCCATACCTTCTGACTGAATGCTGTTTTTTCAGCTCTGTTGCCTATTGGACTAGGGTTTCTCCACATTAGCCTTGTAGCTCATTTTAACCCACCACTTTAGAGAGGCTTCCGCTTCTGAATTCTCCTTTAGACTCTTTTTCTCAGGGTTTTCTCTCTCTGCCTTTCTATGTGACGCATTACACAACCACAAGCTTGCACTGTGAGAAGATACAGTCATTTTGTAGCATTTTATACTGTTGTTGTTAAGTGCCATCAAGTCGCCTCTGACTTATGGAGACCCTATGAATGAAGGTCCTCCAAAATATCCTATCCATGACATCTCTGCTTAGCTGTTCTGAATTCAAGACTTTAGCTTTCTTATGGAGTCAATCTATCTCTCATTTGTCCTTCCTTTTTTATTATTCTTTAAAAAGTTGCAGAAATGCTCAGAAAGCATGGGACAGTTCTTGGAGATGACAACACTGCATCAGTTACCACGGGAGAGGAATCATGAAAGCACAATTGTTCTAGGCATAGTACCTCCAGAGGTCAGCCTGGGGCTTATCTGTCTCGCTGTGACCTTATCTATAAAGGCAATTGTTCATATTTTCTGGGTTACACAGAAGGCAAAAGCAGAGTGCAGAGTTACTTCTCTTGATTTTTGTGTGCTTATTTCTGAGTTTGTGAGACATATTTGGGAATTTCAGGGAATGAGGCTAGCCAGTCAAATTAAGTGGCCACTGGATGTCACTGGTGCTCTACAAGCTAGATAACTTTTCTTTCCATGGAAAGAAAAGTGGTTTAAAATGCAGTTTGGAAAGGAGATTCCTTCTAAAGCAAGCCTAATTCTGATTTTAGTTGGCTTCCATTTGTTCTCCTACTTCTTTGGTAATGAGAATAATAGGCATTGTTGCTTGTTGATTTATGTGCCTAGTTGTAGACAAATGAACTGGTAGGAGAAAAGTCTGTATTCCTTTGAACTGTGCTGTGCTCTGGGACTACAATTTTAAGCAATATGCGCAGAAATTCCAGTGAAGGGTGGATGGGCTTAGTTAAGGGAGCAGGACAGTATAGGGCGGCACAGCAAGGGATATTTAGAGTGGAGAAGCACCTGGAGATGACTCAGTCCTGTAGAACAATGACCAGCAATTTCTGACCCGTTGGGCCTGGAAGGGCAGGAAGACGTGAATAAAAGAGGGGCTTCTTGTGAAGGGGTAGTAAATGCTCCTCTGCACTGTCTGCTGGCCTTGCTTGTCCTCACACTGTCAATTCTGTCTGTACAGAGATGCTGAGATGGTGCTCGGATACACATAGCTTATCACCTTGTGACTCTCAGTGGACAGAACCAAGCTTGAGTCAGAGGAATGAGATATGGATAAGTTTTGATTGGTTAGGGCAGGGATGCACACCTATGGACCAGGAGCTGTGTGTGGCCTCAGGGCTTTGCCTGTGGCCTCACACAAGTGGCTATGCTCCCATTGCCCCTTTTTTTCTCCATCCCCTACAGGTACTCATACAGCAAGGGAAGAGGGACTTTCAGTCAGGGGCATTGGGATGCATAGTGGAGGTACAGATGTGTGGATGTGTAGCCCACTGGAGCCGCAAGCCAGAATTTCATGTAGGACCAAATAACATGGGTTGAGGGATGAAGCCAGGCAATCCATCCTGAATGGAGGAGCTGTTCACAAATTCTGTTTTTGTCATCCCAGCCATTTGGCTCAAAGTACTTAGTTCATGCAATGCGATGCAATTCTTGAACTTGGCAAACTTTCCAAGCAGAAAGGTAAAATTCTGGATGCTTATTGGCTGTGGTGAGGTCTTCTTTTGGAAATCCCTGTTTGTGATATAGAGCAGATCTTTCTCTTATCCCCACACTGCTTTTTCCTTTCACCTGTACTCAAGCCTATAGGTTGGGAGGGCCTCTGAGCTTCAGCACTGTTGCTTTTAGTTACTTTTGAAACTGCACCTTCACCACTTCAAAGAAACACTGATGTTCTTTTCACTGTGGCAGTTTCTCTTCAGAGTCCTCACAACTGCTTTAGCTGGAAGGTGTGATGTGGAAATGTTTATCCCATTGCTGACGTTCTGCTGTCATCAAGGAGCTCTGCTCGTTGCCACCACATGAATTGTATACCTTGACTGTACTCCTTCTGAAAAACCTGAATCTTCGCAACATCATTTATAAGGTGAGCAAAGGCAGCATTCCTTTTCTGAATGTGAATGATAGACAAGTGGGAGAGGAAAAGGCAAAGGTAGTTACTGAAGAGTTGCCTCAGAAATGTTGCCCAAGGCCACATTAAAAGGGAATCTGACATTTCCTCAGGTGAAACAACAAATAACTGAGAAGTATTTGAGAACAAATATTTGAGAACAAATAAGTCTCTCTCCCACCCTCTTGGCTCCTTTCTGTCTGACTTGTAATCCAGGCTGTTTGATTTCTTGTGCTGGGATAGATGCGGATTCTGCTGCACCAGCCACACTGTCCCCCAACATCTCCCTGCTTGAGCTGACAGAGGTTCTCAGTTGGGTTGCTGTGCCCCCTCCCCGCTCCAATAGTTGATCCTGGGGGACACTGACATCCTTGCAGAGGGGACTCTGTCTGGGGCGACTCAGGATTTCATGGACTCCATGACAACCACGGGACTGTCCCAACATGTCTCCAGCCCAACACATGTGGCAGGACGAACTCCAGACTTGTTTGTTTGAGCTGGGCATGGCAGTAGAGACTTGAAGGCGAGTGACTTCAGATCACTTCCTTTGCTATGGTCAGATCACTTCCTGCTGTGATTCATACTTAACAATGACTTTTCCTCTCTGCAAGGGAGAGCAGCCTAGAGTGGTCTCCCCTGGTGGCTAATGGATCTTTATGGTTTCCAAAGGCTCCTGGTGGGATTCTGGATTTTATGATTTTGAATTCCTTGTTGATCGATGGAATACAGGGATGACTTGGGCAGTTGACACAATTGTTCCTGCCTTCTTTTTAATAGAGCTCCGATGGCTTCATGGAATGCCCTGGAGCTGAGAGCATTGAAACAAATGGTAGTTTGAAAGCAAATGGAGAAAACTCCTTGTGAATGCAATCAAGCCCTGAAGTACTTAGGGGCACCAAAAGCAGCAAAGAAACACCATCTTACTGTCCTCTGTTTTTAAGGCTTGACTAGAGCCTTTTACATGCTGCCCCCAAAGTAATACCAGACCCATTCTATATTTTCTAGGTACTTCCAAGAAAACAGTCTGGCATGTTGAATGTTATTGAATGCAGTTGTATCAGGAGAGATATCCAGAGCCCAGTCTGGTTAGGTTTTCTTGGATAAATTGGTACAACTCGAGCATGTTGACAAGATCCTTGGACAGACAACCATCTTTGTACTGGATCCTTGCCTCTCTGAGCTTTTATAAACCAGCAGGGATGGAAAAACTGGCTGGGCCAGGGAGAAGATCACTGCCTCCTTGAAAGAGTGAGTGGCCCCATGCTGAAAGAGGCAGGCAGGAGGCTACTTGCAAAGAAATGATCTCTGGACCCAAACATTCTTTAACAACTTGAACCTGGTGGACAAGGTCCTCGAGTTGGTGGTGGACAATCAGTTCTACGTGCTCTTACATGAGATTTATTATCTGGATCCATTTCAGTTGGGGTTCAGCCTGGGTTTTGGCATGTACCAAAGTGACTTGGCATAATGATCTATGTCAGGAGGCAGAGTGGGCAATTGTGACCCTGGTGATGCTCTCCCATCTCTCAGCAGCTTTTGGGACCATCTATCATGGTATTCTTCTGGGGCAACATCTGAGTTGGGAGTGGGGAGTGCTGCATTGTAGCATTTCTGGTCCTTGGATGGCCAGCTAGATCCTAATCCTAATGCTATCCAGTACAAAAGGGGGTGCCAAATAATTTGGCTCTGAAATCCATATTACAAGCAAATGTTGTTTAGTATGGGTTAACAAGTATGTTTGGCTCTGGCCTCTTGGCAGAGCAGCAGAGCAGCAGAGGCACAGGCTGGGAGAGAGCGCTGAGTGGCCAGGGGACTGGCGAAGGCAAGGTAGGAGCTGGGCAGGGGAGCAGAGGGCCAGGAGCAGCGGAGAGGAAGGGGGCGGGGCCAGAGAGGCCAGAGGGGCCAGGAGGAAGCGGACAGGCGGGGCCACCGGCCTGAGGGACTGATAAGGCGTTGTCCCTTGTCTGCGTCCCTAAACTGCGGCCCAGGCTGCCTGGGGACTCCCTTCCCTGGGAGGCTGAGGGGTTTTGTTTGTTTGTTTGTTTGTTTGTTTAATTGTTTTTTCTTTGTTTGTTTTTGTTTTATTTTGTTCTGTTCTGTGCAGTTCTGTGCTTCGCTTTCCTTTGTTTTTCCTCCAATTTAAATTTTATTTTATCCTTGTGTGTGTGTATGGGGCGGTTGTCTGGGAGAACTGGGCGAGTGAGAGGAACTGCAGGACAGACAAGGCAGGGGACCAAGGTAAGGTCTCGGAAGGGATCCCAACGTCAGACCAGGAAATGGCCTTGGCAGGAGTCAGGAGTGTTGCTGTCTGCTGCGAGAGCTGCGAGGTGTTCGCCCTTCTCCCCCAGGAGAGGCAGGGTTACACTTGCCCTCGGTGTAAGCTGGTGGTCCTGCTAGAGGAGAAGTTGAGGTGCCTGAGGGCCGAGAGAGCTCTCCAGGCCCCCCGGGAGCAGCCCCCCTCTGGACAGAGGGTTGAGGGAGAGGTCACAGAAGGAGCAGCCAGGGAGACATGGAGGCATGTCACCCATAGGAGGAGCAGGCCAGCATGGCCTCCTCCTTCTCCTGGTGCCGATCTGGAGCTGGGAAACAGGTTCTCTCCACTTGGGGAGGCTGGGGCTGATGAGGCCTCGGGGGACCAGCAGGACCCCCAGCCTGGGACGACCCTGGATGATGGCCTGACAGACCAGATTCTAAGGATATCTCGGGGGAGGGACACAGTAAGTATGGGAGATTTCAATCTCCCAGATATTAGTTGGGAGACTCACTTGGTGGTGACAGCCAGATCACGTCGCTTCCTAGAAGCTATAGAGGGAGGGTTTTTCACACAGAGGGTCCAAGAGGCGACGAGGGAGGAACATCCTTGACTTGGTCTGTTTACTTCAAGATCAAAATTCCATTGGAAGTTTACAGCTTACTTAACACACTGTTGGATGTCATATCCAGTATTAGCTCCCTCCTAAATAAAGCTCAACATGTCTTTGAAAACCTTCCAGCATTCCTTCAGACATTCAGAAGTGCATCACTCCTTCACATCGCTTCTTTTCAGTCGGTATGTCTATGGTCTTTTTACATATAAATTTCTATTTAATGTTCAAGAATAGCTTTGTCAGGTGAGCCATTTGTGGACTTGGGTTCTTTCTGGTGGGACCTGTTGCTCTCCTGAAAATAGATCTTGTTTCATTTCATGCCATTTCTAATGTATGATCTCATTGCTTCAATGTACTTATGAAAAAATGCCTATAAAATTGTCTGCATGTCACACAATGTAATCAGCAGATTTAAGTGTCAGAGCTCTTGTTGGGGTGAACCTCTTCAATCTTTAGGTGGACTCCCAAAGCAATTTATGGTTAAGTTGAATGTTCCTCCTTTTTAAAAACTACCTGCATAGAGAAAACAATTTCCTTCTATTTCCTTCTTATGAACTACATTCTGATTCTTAAGACAGAGCCATTAAAAGTGATGGTTTAGTTTGAGTGAATAGCAGGTTACAAGAAGAAGTGATTGTGGTTCTGGCAATGGGGAGAAAGGCAAGGACTATGGCTGTGTAGACTGTTAACAAACAGGCTGCTAGCAAGTTGCTTATCCCCAGAACATACACATGAGCCTGGGAGAAAGACAGAAAAGGATTAACTGGATGGGTCCTTCAGAAAAGAGGGGGTAATGAAGAAAGAGGGTTTGGAAAGCTAATGGATTTTCAGGGAGACATCAGTAGGAGGAAGCATGTGTTCAACCTGTTTCTATGTGTGCAGTTTGATAAAATTGGGCCAGTGGGGTATCTCTGCAGCAAGAAGAAGGAAGAACATTGCAGGAAAGAGGGAAGCTTCTCTGGGTCAATGAATCCTAACAATTGGGCCATGCTGTTGCTGCTTATATGCCCTCAAATTTGAGCTTTATTATTGAAGTTCAAACCAGGGCTAAAGTTCTGTCTTTTCTTCTTCCCAGCATAAGCGGGCAGGTAAAAATTAACAAGTTGTTGATAGATTTTCCACTCAACATTTCTAGGGGGAACATTTTGAATTTTAATGTAAGTTGAAAATCGGATCCAAGACTGGTAGGAATTAAGGGATTAAGTCCAGATAACAATGATCAAGCGAGAGGTATGTGTGTGAGATGACTTTGTACCACATATTGTTGTTGTTTTTTGTTAGTCGCGAAGTCGTGTCAGATCCATCGTGACCCCATGGACAACATTCCTCCAGGCTTCCTGTCCTCCACCATCCCCTGGAGTCTACTCAAGCTCGCACCAACTGCTTCAGTGACTCCATCTAACCACCTCATTCTCTGCCGTCCCCTTCTTCTTTTGCCATCCAATGTTCCCAGCATTAGACACTTCTCCAGGGAGTCCTTCCTTCTCATTAGGTGGCCAAAGTATTTGAGTTTCATCTTCAGTATCTTCAGTATCTGGCCTTCTAAAGAGCAGTCAGGGTTGATCTCCTCTATGACTGACCGGTATGATTGCCTTGCTGTCCAAGGGACTTGCAGGAGTCTTATCCAGTACCACAATTCAAAGGCCTCAATTCTTCGGCACTCAGCCTTCCTTATGGTCCAACTTTCACAGCCATACATTGTAACTGGGAAAACCATAGCCTTGACTATACGCACTTTTGTTGGCAGGGTGATGTCTCTGCTTTTTAGTATGCTGTCTAGATTTGCCATAGCGTTCCTCCCCAGGAGCAAGCGTCTTTTAATTTCTTGGCTGCAGTCCCCAACCTGGAGACAAGGGAGGTTTGCTGCCTGCCGGGCACACGCATCCAGCACGTGAAGGACAGAATGGAGTGTCTTGTTTGCTCCGGGGGTCACCAGCCGCTCCTGATGATCCATGTGGGCACAAATGATGTGGCCAGGCAGGGTGTGATTGGGACCACCAGGGACTTGGAGGCCTTGGGGAAGAAACTCAGGGAGCTGAAGGCCCAAGTGACCTTCTCGTCAAACTTACCTGTCTGGGGATTTGGGCCAGGGAGGAACAGGAGGACCTCCGAGGTGAACGACTAGCTTAGGGTGTGGTGCCAGAAGGAATGCTTCAAGTTCCTCGACCACGGCACTCGTTTTCTTGCCAATGGACTTCTGGCAAGGGACAGGTTACACCTCATGAGGATGGGAAAAGGTCCTTTGGAGATGCTCTAGCGAGCTTCGTCCGGAAGACTTTAAACTGAGCCGGGGGGGGGGGTCAGGTCCCCCAGTAATGTGTCTGCACTGGACAAGTGTGGGGGGAGGATCAGGGCTCTGGGACCAGGGGTTTATAGGTACTGCAGGGACTGACAGGACTCCTACAGAGAGGGGCCATGTATCACAGAGGATGGGAGTAAGGAGGAGGCTGGGAACTCCAAGGAAAGGAAGTGGTGGGAAGGAGTTGAGGTGCATGTACACCAATGCCAGGAGCATGGGTAATAAGCAGGAAGAGCTTGAAGCTCTCCTGGGAATAGGAGGGTATGATCTGGTGGGAATCACAGAAACTTGGTGGGACGAAAGACAAGTCTGGAATGTGAACATAGAAGGGTATCACCTTTTTAGAAAGGACAGGAAGGGAAAGAGGTGGGGGCATGGCTTTGTATGTCAGGGAAGGGATAGGATGCAGTGGGACAGAATGCAGCACAGATGGGGATTCGGCAGAGACAGTCTGTGTGAAACTTAGGGGTTTTGACAGGGAAAGAGACCTGACATGGCGGGTATGTTATTGCCCTCCAGGTCAACTTGAGACCCTGGATGATGTCCTGACAGGCCAGATTCTAAGGATATCTCGGGGGAGAGACATAGTAATTATGGGAGATTTCAATCTCCCAGATATTACTTGGGAGACTCACTCCGCAGTGCCAATCAGGTCACATCGCTTCCTAGAAGCTATAGAGGGAGGATTTTTCACACAGAGGGTCCAAGAGGCGACGAGGGGGGG